AGCTCAGTCATTAATGTTCACCATGAATCTATCGAAAAATTATTGGGGAGATGCAGTTCTCTTAGCGGCTTATCTTATCAACAAAGTACCTTTGTAAATTCTCAATTTTAGAAGCCCTTTAGAGGTTTTACAAAGAAAAAATTCATATACTATTCTCCCAAAAGTGTTTGAATGTGTTTGTTTTGTTCATGTTAGAAATGTGGGTAAACTGGAATCTAAACCTCTCAAGTGTGTATTTGTTAGATATTCCCCTACTCAAAAGGGTTACAAGTGTTATCATTTATCGTTTAGAAAGTACGTTGTGACTATAGATGTTATCTTTAGAAAATTTGAGTCTTACTTTAATTCAAAACCAACACCTCTTTTGGGGGAGAATGAGAAGGAAGAGATTATGCTTAGCTTGGTAACTCTTAATAGTCATACTTAGAGGGAGAGTTATATTTTGGAAGATCTTATTCAAAGAGAAAATGTCGGATGCTTGGATAGACCGGACTTGAAAAAGTCTTCAAGGAGAGATCAGACAAAAAAGTCATAATGCAGTCTGTTTCAGGTCAAGAATCTTCTTCAGTTCCTGAAGATACGGGTGAGTTATTTTTACTTTGTGATTTATCTGATAAATTCATTACTCTTAGAAAAGAAATAAGGACTTGCACTAAGCGTTCTATGTCTAATTTTGTTTTCTATAACTCTTTATCTCCCTCCTATAGAGTTTTTGTCTTGTCTGTTTCATCTGTGTTTATTCCACATGATTGAAGAAGAGTTTTGGGAGATCTCAAATGGAAGGAGGTCATGATTGAAGAAATGAAAGTTTTGGCAAAGAATGAAATATGGTAACTTGTTTCACCTCCACAGGGAAAGAAGAAGATTAATTGCAAATGAGTATTTATTGTGAAACACAAAGCAAACGGGTCCAAACAAAACCAGATTGGTGGTTAAAAAGATTTACTCAGACGCATGGAGGAGACTATCTGGAGTCATTAACACTTGTCGTGAAAATGAATACAATTAGAATATTATTGTCTTGTGCAGCTAACCTTGATTAAGACTTACAACACTTTGATGTCAAAGATGCCTTCTTCCATGGAGACTTAGAGGAAGTGGTACATATGCAGATTTTCCCTGAATTTGAAGAAAAAAGAATATAAGGGAAAGTTTGCAAATTAAAGAAGGTTTTATACGAGTTGAAGCAGTCTTCAAAAACATAGTTTGAAATGTTTAAAAGAGTTATGATCTCTTTTGGATATCAACAAAGTAATGTTTATCATACTCTGTTTATCAAATATTATGAGGATAGAGTCACTACTTTTCTCATTGTTTATGTAAATGATATTGTGGTGACTGGAGATGATACAAAGTAGATGACTCGCTGGAAAGAACTTCTTGCTTAAAAGTTTGAAATAAATGATTTAATAAAATTGTAGTATTTCTTGGGAACTGAAGTTGGCAAATTTAATAAATAGATTTCTATTTCTCAAAGAAAGTATGTCCTGCATTTATTATTATAAGAGACTGGTATGATGGGTTGCAAGCCGACAAAATCTCTCATTGAAAGCAACCATACACTACAAGCGGGTAGTGATACATCATTTGACTTGGTAAGATATCAGAGATTAGTTGGAAAATTCATTTATCTCTCACATACTAGACCTGATATAACATATGCAGTTAGTCTAGTGAGTCAGTACATACATGATTCCCGCGAGCCTTATTTATATAATGTGTTTTGCATATTACAATACTTAAAATCTGCACCAGGAAAACGTTTGTTCTTTTTTAAAAATAGCCACGTTAGGATAGAAATATTTACAAATCCTGATTGGACTGGATTTCCGAATGATAGAAGATCAACTACCGGTTACTACACATTCGTAAGAGACAACTTGGTTTTATGAAAAAGTAAAAAATAGAGTGTAGTTGCTCACTTCACTACTGAAGCAGAATATAGAGCAATGACCTAAGTAGTATGTAAATTATTATGGTTGTAAAAGCTAATGAAAGAATTAAAACTGTTTAAAAAAAAGAATTTATCCTTGTTATGTGACAATAAAACAACCATTAGCATTGTCCACAATCTATTTCAACATGATCAGACAAAACATGTTGAAATTGATCGACATTTTATAAAAAAAAAGTTGTTGATGGCTTCTTATGCCTATATCATGTGTCTTCTAATGAACAGGTAGCAAATGTCTTCACGAAAAGACTTTGCAAACATAACTTGGTTTGAAATTAGGCATGTGTGATATTTTTGCACCAACTTGAAAGAGAGTGTTGATTAGAATATTTTGTTACTCCATTAATTGAAATATTTTTTCTGTATAATTCTTCCTGTAATCATTTCCATAATGATGTGACTAATTAGAATCAATTAGAATCCATATTATAATGTTAATTTTCTTATCTGTAGATAAAAATTCTGTATATATATTCTAATTGTAATAACATAAGATATATAGAAAAATAAAGTTAATATTTTTCCTCCAAAAATCTTCACTAAACTTTTCCGGGAATTTTTGTTCTTGCTTGAAAGTAAGTAAAGCAAAAGATAGGATGAACATAATTTACTCTCTCTGAAAAAAAAATCTATCATTTCACTTATTTTCTGCCAGCAGGGTCAAGTGCCAGCCACCCTTTCCAGAAAGGTTTATATGATTTCCATATATGTTCTTTTTGTGTCGAAAATAGTGAATCTCCGAGCTGTCTTCTTCTTTGGAACCTGGTAACCCAAAGCTTTGAAGGCATGGGATTTGGCTCTTGAACTTCTAAGTATCTGTTGGTTGGTCAGAAGGATGAACTATGGGCTTTAAGTGGCATTCTAGTTACGAGGTCTACAAGGAAATTTCTGTCCGTCATCCCTTCTTCCTATTTTCTGGGTCACATGGAAAGATAGGAACAATAGAGCCTTTGGAAGTTCTTCACTTCCTCTTTTGTTTCTGTCTGAGATCATTGGCTTTCAAGGCCCACCCTTTTAATTTTTTGATGTCATAAACCTTTTCTCTTATAACACATTTGTAGATTTTTTTTTAAGGGTTGGCTCCTTCTTGCTCCTTATCAAGGTTATTTCTCTCTCATTCTCTCTCAAAAATAGGACAACCTTGTTTCACATATTTTCTTTGAATTTTTATTTAACATGAAACAACTTAGGTTAAGAGGGTTACTAGAATGGGGGAGGAGCTTGGTTGAGAAACTGATAACGGTAGGTATTTCTGGTTTTTTATGTGACTACAAGTATGATTAAGCTTTTGATTAACAAGCATGACTTTGACCAGATACTCCAATTTATTATTTGTCTCTTTGCTTTCTTCCGTCTTAAAATTCTTCTCTTTCCCAATGCATAGGTCATAAGTATTACTACAACATGAAGACCCATGTATCACAGTGGGAGTGCCCTTATTCATCAAAGCAAGTTATAGAAAACTCAAATACTATGGCTTCTGCAAATTCTGCTAACAAAGATCAGGGGCTTTCTTCTTCTGTGCGAGAGAAATGTACGGGATGTGGTGGTTGGGGAGTAGGGCTTGTCCAGATTTGGGGTTATTGCAAGCACTGTACAAGGTACAAAATCCATTCTTTCAAGTAGCAGTTTCATTTAATGGCCTCACAGTTGCATCATAGGTGTGCCTGGATCGAAGTGTCCTTATTTTATTGACTCCTGCCTTCTTTAGTGTCTGCCCCTTGATATCTTTCTCTTTTTTATTCTTGAATGTCTATACCGGTATGTGTTTAATAGGTGTCCATAATGAAATTCAGAAGCACCCTCGCCTACAGATTTATGCAAATATTTTTGTTTTCATTTATTTTTTGGCAACTATAACATTTCAAATTCTAACATTGTCAAATGTAGAGTCCTCAATCTTCCACAATCGCAATACTTGTCTACAAGTTTGAATAACGAGCAGATAATCAGTGCTGCAGCAAATACAAGCAGAAATTCTGAGGAGAAGGCACAGAAGCAGAGGTACCTGATTTTGTAGCTAAGCGTTTGCTAAATTTTCATCTGGCTTTGAATTTAATTTACAGGCCTTTTAGTTAGCCAATGGAAATTCATTTCTAGGTCTAAGTGAGTGATCCAAGGAAAGTGTCACTTCAACTTTGTTAATCAAGTCACGGAAAAAGTTTCCATAATCTAGCTGTACCATTCTATCTGTTTCTCTATATTTTTCAGTCAAGGAGTTTGCTTTTAGGAAGAAAGATGGTTTCCGAATATGTACAATTTAAGTATCTAATGTAAGCATGCAGGCGATCTGTCTAGGAAAGGACAATTTTCTGATAGATTTCTCTCTTGAGTTATCCATACTTTTGTAAAGTTTGGGAAAGGGAGATATGAGTAGTGACGACATAATTACATCTGATAAAGTTAATTTTTCATGGATGTGTTATTCAGAGACTAATAGTAATGAAAAACAAAGTTCTGTTATTCTCCAATAGAACTTAGTAATAATCTGATTCACAGAGAAAGTAGCACGAGAAATGTCTGATGAGAACTGGGGGAATGGATATGGGTTCTTGAAATGTTTTGTGTATCCTTTGCCTTAACCTTGGTCATATCAGGAAAACTATAAAAAAAACTACTGATCTCCAATAGAAGTTGATCTCCCATGTTTACTTCCTTTGCATTAAAAGTGAAACTTAGTAGAAAATGCATAGTCAA